AAGCCTGTGAGTAAAGAGCTTTTCGGAGATACTTGAATTCCACACTTCGCATATCTTCGAGCAAAGCTCTGTATCTTTCCTCCCATGCTTGCAACTTGAGAATCCTCATATTCCCAAGGCATTCAGAAGTCTTCCTCATCCTCTCATCCTTGGCGGACATTAACTTGTCTTGGTAATCTTCTTGAACCCTTGCCAATGGAACAGTTGCAACAATGGATATAATAGTGGCAACCAATGTGGCAGCAGATGCAATCCCGACGTTCTTATATAAAATAGCAAGGGCAAGGACAATTTGAAGAGGAAGCATCCATATGTCATGTAGATACCAAGAATAGTCCCCGACTCTTTGCACGTCAACTGCCATGTAGTTAACGATCTCCCCACTCGTGTGACTCTGCCTGGCTGAACTCGAAAGCCTGAGTCCTTTCCGATATACCATTGCTGTGAGAGCTGATCTAACATGCATTCCCAAAATGTCGACTCCAAGATACCATTGCCGGGTTGTGAAGGTCTCCATTAATTTTGCAGTGAAGAAAATTCCTGCAAGAATGTAGCCCTCATGCGGGAAAGTCTCCCTTCCTCCCAAGTAATCCACAAAGTAGCTAATCATATAAGGACCCACATATGAAACTAAGGTGTTCACCCCTGCAAATACTGCATTACAAGCAGCCTCCTTCCAGAAAGATTTGAGAATTGCCCAAGCTAAAGAAGGCTGCTTACAAGGATTCTCCAACTTCTCCCAATTCAAGTTCAATATCTTATAATTTGTCTTGCAACGATCTTTCGGTGCAAGCAATGGAATATCCTTTAGCTCAAGCGGTCTCTTTGCCCCTATGGAAAGAAGTGAATTCAACCAGGAAAGAGTGGCCAAACTAAAAAGGCCAGCTTCACTATAAGGGGTAACATTAAGACACCCTGCTTCTTCTTCAAGAAGCAGTGGCTCTTGAAGGTTAGAGTTTCTACGCACTTGAATTCCAGTAACACCCCTAATTGCAACAAAACATAGAAAAGCAAGAGCAGGAGTAAC